CACGTACACAAGTCAACCCTACCTTGCCTCTGCCTCCCATCTGTCTCTCTGCTCCTGACTGGCAAACATGGGACTCCTTCCACAGTAAGAGTTAACATTGCCTTTCAGTATCAGCTAGATGTAGCTTACTCGGTAAAGTCAAACCCAGCTCTAATTTTGTGCATATTCCACTAAAGCAGCAGCATTCCTATAAAAGTAGCAAACAAGAAGCGACAAGAGCCCTGGAAGCTCTATTTGCCTTCCCTGCTGCCTTTGAGGGCAGAGCTGCGAACCCAAGGCCACAGCTACACAGGGCCACACGCAGCAGCAACTGCCGCACGCGTTGCAGAGGAGCGCTGGAGGGCCACGCGCTTCATGACCTGTAATTGTGCGAACCACTGAGGTTGTGGTCCATGAACATCTTTAAAATGCCCTCAGACGTGTTCATGAATTTGGACCACAGCTCTTTAACTACACAGAAAATCTACACAAGCTATGCATAATATACTTAGCTGTAACAAAATCATTCCAAAATCAGAACCCAAGTGACACCATTTGGGATACCAAAATTGTACAAAGGCAAAAAGAGGTCTGAAATACGCTAACAGTTTCTATACCTGTAGTTTTAAATAAAGTTTCATGTCACCCCACCGCGAATTATGAGGGTTTTTCTTCACAATGAATCTGAGCACTGGTTCCCTCTTGTCTAAGTCACAGTCTTTAAGAAGATACTCTTCTTTTGCTTCTGTCCTTGTTATAAGCTTATGTTTATCTTCAGCGTCTCTGGAAGATGTAAAATGATGATGAGAAAGCTACTCCTGAAAACCATATTATTAACATCTAAGTCCCCGTCCCTTCTAACATTCCTGAAAAACAGGCAGGCCTCACCCTCCCAGTTTTTATGTATGCAAGTAACTTTGGATTCCAACAATCTAGCTCAACTTCAGGACAGGTTTACTGAAATTAAGTTTAAAAATTCTCCCACTTGAGCAAGCGTAGGCTGAGAAGCCTGTTTTTCTAGAAAGGCTTTTCTTCTATTTTCTTACAAGAGGGAGTAACTGAAACTTAAAAGGAGTATGAGTAATTTTAGGTTTTCACCTAACCCAGATGCAATTCAAGAGGACAAAAGTACAAGCCTGACACGTGGTCAAGAGAGAAAGAATGTGTAATGTGAGACAGGTCAGATCACCTGAGAATACACACACTCCATATGCTTCTAGATCCCAGAAACAGATTAGCAACGCAGAGCGAGCACTTGTTTCTAAATGCAAGCCAGCAGGCAGAGGAACAGTAAAACAAAGACCTTGAAAGACTGTAACTTTGACCAGACAGATAATGAAAAACTGTGTAACCACAGCAGCACTTATGAGTTAATGAAAAAAAATTACGTTTACGCAATCCTGACTGAAGTGTAACTTGAATTGCTTGAGCCGGAACAATTTGCCTAACAGTAAGTGCTAGCAACGGTCATCCAGGAAGTACTGTTGTAAATGCAGCTCGACTCGAATTCAAAGTTCACGGCAAAAGCTAATGCACCACGGAACCTCTAAGCCTTCAGCTGCAAGAGCTACTTAGTCCGAAGGAAAACCACTCTTCAGGCTCGGAGCCCCCTCCTTAACGTCCTTTTTCCACCCATCTTGCCTCCAAGAGACAGCACTTTGCCTCTGATGCCTGCCAACTGCCTACACCACGGGCACACCCCGACCCTCCCTGCGGCGAGCAGGGAAGCGCTCAGAACAAACTCCTAGCTGTGAGCTTTTTTTTTTTTTTTTAATGCTTCACCCATTCATTCTTGCACTTATGGCTGGTTGGCCCCTTCAGAGGTGCTTTCATTGCCCCGGGTTATCTCGATGGCTTTTGGAGCGTTTTCTGTGTTACAGATAAGAGAGCGTAGAGACTGCCTTCTGCTCAAGGTCAAACTCCTGCTTACCCTGCAGGTCAAGCGGTCACCTCCCATGGGGGCCCTGCCCTTTGGCTGCCGTGCTCCCAGCCCGCTCCTGCTGACCAAAGTACCAGCTTCACCTGGGTGAATTCACCAGGCCAGCAAACACTCTCCTAATCCCCGCTCTACTTCAGAACACAGATGGTTCTGTCGTTTTTTCTAATAGCTCTCGTCTGCGACCAGACATTAATTTCCATGCTGACACACACACTAACTGCTCTCAAGACATCACGTTTCCCTAACATTATGTAAAAATCCACTGACGTCCCCTACCCTAAGACAGGCTCACGAGACAATGCTGCTGTTCTTCCCTTCCGTAATGGAAGATACAGAGATTGTCACTCAACTTCCACTTACTTTTTCAGTTACTATTAAGTTACTGAAAAATGTCTCTTTGCTGACAGCCTTTTTAATTAAACAGAATGATCGTAATTAACTAAATTATAGCCAGCAATCTTTACATAAAATAAAGCTTCCCTCGCCTGATTATTTGTAATACCTGCAATTATCACATGTTGCCCAATCAAAGTGCTGCATAAGGTAGGAATCCATGAATTCTTTGCCACAGTCTCCACAGATGAGATAGTCAAATTCTAGTACAGGTGCTAATGGAAAGAAATTTTTTTTTTTTTAGGAACTACCAAGTTAAAAACAAGCATCTGGAATTGGTATTACAAGCAATTTTACTAAAATTTACATTATAGTTCTCAACAGTATTCGTTACAGACTAGTTTCACTCCTCTATTCAAGTTTTCCAGAAAGATACAGTACAAATTCAAACCCGTGATCATGCAATCCCATCTCTGCCGGTATATTTCTGTTCTTGCTGGAAGGTTCACTGTATTAAGTGTTGGATTTCAACATTCAAATGCACACATTTGTTTCGACTTAGCCATTGTTTAAAAAAAAAAAAAATTCCTTGCATTTCCCCATAACGTGCTTCATATCCCCTCCTACAGATTCCTCTGTTCCGGCCCTCCAAAAAACGCCCTGATTTACAGAGGACGCGCAGGCAGGAACGGGAGGAAGCAGAGGAGGGGATGCAGTCCGAAGAGGGCGGCGAGAGCAGGAAGCCATACCGGAGCCGCACTGGCATCATAGTCCTCTCAGCTCTGCTCCAGTTTTTTTCCTAGCTCAGCCACACCTGCCTCTCCCTAAAAAAGCTCAACGCAGGCCCGGGGCGGTTGGCAAGGCTCTTGTCCATTCCAGCCGGCAGAAATGGAGGTGGATGGCCAGAGAGCTGCTAGGAGTGGAATGGGGATGGAGCTCCACTACAATCCTCTCCCCAAGCCCTCTCAGCACTGCTCCAAGCCCAGACTCATCCCAGTGCCGGCCATCACTTCTGGCCACATCCTCGCTGGGTAGATCACCGCCATCGCCATCTGCTTTATGTTCCACGTGACACCAAGAAACACTGATTCAGGTAACGCAGCTATAAGGAAGGGTCCTTTCACAGTAACATTGTAATTCTAACAGAAAATTAACATTTTTATACAGTTTCACGAGCCGAAAATGAGGTAATGCTGCAGAATATTAACAATACCTGAAAGAGAAGATTAATGCTTGACATGCAGCACCATACATTTTTAATTGCGTTTGCATTTATAGCAGATTCGATCTAGCAAAGACGACATTTTATGCCAATTCAGTCTCACTAGCGACAGAGGGATGCTCAGTACTTTGCACAGCCATACTCTTACATCACATTTCATCATTTAAGGCAGTCCTCCCGAACATAAAGACGTTTTATTAACACAATGACGTTATGAATTACACAGCAAAAATACCCCCAGCGCAAAGGCATCCCAGATCTACTCAATTTATTGTTAAACATCAGCCCCTCAAAAGAAGTGGGGCTGCTAGCTGTTTACACTCTTAATGAAATCTGGTGGCGATTTCTAACAAAGAGATACACTGCACCAACAGCCCTGCAGCTGATTGAGAGCTGAACAATGCAAGACAAAGACATTCCCGGAGAAGAAAGTGAATCTATTTTGGGATCCTTACTTCTCCATTTGCTTTTTGGAAGGAGAATATCGCAAGCCAATATGTCGAAATCCTCCCCCAAACGATCAGTAACTTGGCGTCAGCACGTTTTATAACGATAAAAGCTGGCACTGCTGCAGTGCTCCGGTCTTGGCATAAACGGTATCAACCTCAAAATTCCCAGAACCGACTAAGCCCCGCAGATTTACACTTATTTCGGTCTTAAAATTCAAATTCCCGAAAGAAAGAGTGGAAATAGCGTTTATCGGGGAAAGGAAAAAAACCGCGATACCCAAGGGCACTGACTGCGTCCCACTTCCGCGGCTAAAAATTATTCGGTTTTAATTACCGCGTATTTGATGGTCGCTCGAACGCTGGAAGAATCGAAGGCGCCAGAAACCGAGCACATC